AGAAGTCAGGGCCTTCAATCATACAGCTATGAGGAAATGCGTTCTGCCAACTTGAATGAGCTTGGAAGTATATTCTTCTTCACTCAGCCACCAGATGAGGATGCAGCCCAGCAAACATCTTGATTGCTGCCTTGTGAGATTCTGGGCAGAAGCCCCAGTCAGGCTGTGCCTGAATTCCTGACCACAAAACTGTGAGGTGAGATGATAACTGTTGTTATTTTAAGCCACTGTGTTTGTGGTAAATTGTTATACGACAATGGAAAATCAATATAACACAGACATCAAAACGGATCAAATTGCATACTTCAAGTCCTTGCAGATTATTGTACTTCAATTATGTATCAATAAAACTGTATGAAAAAAGTAGGTCAAGGGAAGTGAAATCTGGGCAGAGGCCCCAGGACATGGTCCCCAGGGCAGTAGGTTGGAGAGACTTGAAAAGAGTGAGAAATAAAAAGGCCAGGGAAATAGGAAGGAAGTTGATGGGGAGCAATCTAGAATTGGGCATGACTCTTCCAAAAAGTTTTTTTTTTTTCCTCATTTCAGTGCCTTTGTGCAAGGAAGCAAGATAGGAATGCATAATTGTCATTCTTTCGGTCATCCGGCATGTAAAACTCCTTACCGTTAGACAAATCATCCCATTGTACTGAGTCCTGCTTCCCAGTATGGAAGCTGAAAAGCGGTCACATTTTCCTCCTCCAGTCCCCTGGAGGCTAGGGTGCAGACACATGGTCAAGGCTTAGCAATCAGATATGCTTTCTCAAGTCTTTGAATCCTGAGCTGGTAATGTAAACATATGACTGTTCAGAATTTGTTCATGGTTGTGGCATTTGGAGACTGAAGCTGCAGGGAGGCAGGGTGCCTTCACCATCTGCTCCAGAGATGATATGTCTTTGGCCGTAGTTCCTGATGGCTATCCTTGACTTCTGGCCACTTTCCCAGCCTGATTCTCCAGTCTTCCGGATTATTCTTTGAGTCACCTGGTACCTTTCCAGTAAGTTCTTATTCTCGGGTCACTTTCTGTAGTTTGCAACCAAGAACCCTCACTCACTTAACAAAAAGCCTTCTGGAATATTAGCAAGAGAAGGTCACATGTGCAACTTCCTTCCTGACTAGGAATCTGTCTTTTTTTAGGACCTTTTAAATGTGTGTTATCTAATCAAAAGAACCGAATGAAGAAGCCTGCATAGGTGTCAGCTGTTGTACAGGAATTTCTCTATTTAATACTGTTGATTTTTTTGCACTTTGGAAAAGAAGAACAGAAGTTATTCTCAGATCTTTGTTATTCAAGTAGAAAGTATATTTTTGGCTAATCATATATTTCAAAACCTCTTATTTTGGTCAAAACCATCTAGCTTAAGTGCCTTACTTATTAATTTTTGTTCATGTTTCCAGAATAAGATGCAGCAGCTGAAGATCAGTAATGGGCCCTTCAAACTCTGCATGAATCACATAAATAAGTCAATGAGGCTGGGTGAAATGATTCATGCCTGTAATCCCAGCACTTTGGGAGGCTGAGGTGGGCAGATCACTTGAGGTCAGGAGTTGAAGACCAGCCCGGCCAAACATGGTGAAACCCCATCTTTACTAGAAATACAATTAGCTAGGCGTGGTGGTACATGCGTGCAGTCTCAGCTATTCAGGAGGCTGTGACAGGAGAATCACTTGAACCCAGGAGGCAGAGGTTGCACTGACGCAAGATCATGCCATTGCACTCCAGCATGGGTGACAAGAATGAAACTCCATCTCAAGAAAAAAAAAAAAAAGAAGCAGCTAATGAGAGATAAGCCTCCTGATTCCAGAGAAGAAGAATGACTAAAAAGTTAGGGGCATTAGGACAGAAGAGGATGCCATGGCAGGAGTAAAGAGAACATAGAGAGTGCTATAAAACAGGGGTTTCCAAACCCCGGGCCACAAAACTGTACTGGTGTGTGGCCTGTTAGGAACTGGGCCACCCAGCAGAAGGAGAGCAGCAGATGGGTGGGCATTACTGTCCGAGCTCTGCTTCCTGTCACACCCGCGGCGGCATTAGAATCTCATAGGACTGCAGGCCCTATTATGAACCGTGCATGGGAGGGGTCTAGGTTGTGTTCTCCTTATGAGAATCTAACTAGTGCCTGATGATCTGTGGTAGAACAGTTTGATCCCGAAACTATTTCCCCATCCCCAGCTGTGAAAAATTGTCTTCCGTGAAACTGGTCCCTGGTGCCAAAAAGGTTGGGGACGAGATGGCTACTGTAAAAGATATGCACTCTGGATACAGCTGCTCTGCCTCTGTCCCCATCATATGCATGTTATTCAGATGAGACCCACTTCTACTAGATGCAGATGAGTCGCAGGTGGCCAGCTCAGTTCACTGTGGTCCAGGAGTCAGAACTGATATGCTGTCACCATACCCACCTAGACCATAGTCTCTACCCTTGGTCCAGAGGTGTGGGAATGAGCACTGGTTACAGCTTCCTCTCTTTACAACATCCAAACAAATTTACCTCCATAACTTTGCTCAAAAAAGTTATAGTGGCCATTGTGGTGACTTACGCCTATAATCCATTTTGGGAGTCTGAGGTGGGCAGATTGCCTGAAGTCATGAGTTTGAGACCAGCCTGGCCAACGTGATAAACCCCATCTCTGCTAAAAATACAAAAATTAGCCAGATGTGGTGGTGGGTGCCTGTAATCCCAGCTACTTGGGAGGCTGAGGAACAAGAATTGCTTAAACCCAGGAGGCGGAGATTGCAGTGAGCTGAGATCACGCCACTACACTTCGGCCTGGGCAGTAGAGTGAAACTCGATCTGAAAAAAAAAAAAAAAAAAAAAAAATTGTGTAATATTTACTATATACTAAAAGATATGTGGAACATATATGTAAGTGAGGAAGCGCAGTGACAAAATAGATACCTTCAATCCCATGACCTAAACTAAGAACTGGAAAATTACCAGTTGCAGGACATTTAGCCTTTTTTTTTTTTTTTTTAAATTTCTAGTGTGGAGTAATTAGTTCAGTCAAAGTGTATCTATAGACTTGGATTGATTGAAATAGACAATATTTCTTCAGTGTTGCCTGGGAAGAAAAAAAAAAGAAAGAAATAGACAGTAAATAGACCATAAATAAGCATCCCTCATTGATGGCTGTCTAGTCCTTAATTAAACACTTCCAATGACAGGATATTCACTACTTCATAATGCAGGTGATGCCATTATTAGACAGCCCTATCATTAGAAGGGTCTTCCCGATGTTGAACTGGTATCTTGAAACCTCCATCCATTATTCTTAGCTTTACTTTTGAGAGACACTGTGGCTCAGATGAAGGCTCTGCAGCGGAATAGATCTGAGTTGAAATTTCAGCTCACTTACTTACTGTGATCTTGAACAACTTACTTAACTAACTTCTTTTTACCTCAGTTTTATCTTCTGTAAAATGGGAATAATAATAATGTGTGGGGCAAGTGAGACCAGACCACATGCGCTGGTCTGGGTTTGAGGATTGGTGAGAATGAAGACTTGGATTTGGCTTAACTTACTTTAGCTTTCTCTAGGGGTGCAGTGGCCTGAGCCTGCAGTCCCAGCTACTTAGGAGGCTGGGGTGGAAGGATTGCTTGAGGTTAGGAGTTCCAGACCAGCTTGGGCAATATAGTGAGAACACATCTCTAAAAAGAAAAAAGAAAGAAAGAAAGAAAATTACTTTAGCTTTTGTGTATTGTCTGAATCAGGAACACGATCAGTTGTAATTTACAGAAACTTATAAAATTTACAGTGACTTATAAAAGATAGAGGTTTAGGGGTTTTTTGTTTGTTTGTTTTGGTTTGGTTTTTAGAGAATCAGCCTGACTTTGTTGTCCAGGCTACTCCTAAACTCCTGGGCTACAGAGATCCTGCTTCAGCCTCTGGAGTAGCTGGGACTACAGGTACCTGAACACCACTGTGCAGCTCTAGGATTTTTTTTTCCTAGGGAAAGGGATCCAGAGATGATATCTTTCTGATATACCAGTTTTAGCCCCTGGTTTCTGTGGCCCAAGATGGCTCCTTAGCCACTACTTCAGTGTTCTCAACAGGAAACTGAAGGAGAATGGACAGAAAGAGTGTGTGCTAGATCCTGTCTTCCTTTCAAGTAGGTTTCTTAGAAATCCTATAAGCCAAGGTCCCGAGTTTTTTGGGTATGTACTGTGAAAAAGTACCTGCTTGTAATCGTTGCATCTTGAGTTCTGATTGTTTCAAAAAGTTCCAGGAAGAAGCTCAGCCCCAGAAGAACAAAAACTGGTTGGATCTAGAGATGCCTGAGTTGGAAATGAACTTTAGTGAAGTCTCCTCATTACCATACCAAAAACCCTGCCCAGGGAGTTTATTCACCATTTCCTATATGAGTGATGTATATAGAAGCATGATCAGTGACTGTGTTGCCCTTACCCTACCTCTATATACAAAGACTCAGCTAACCAGTCCGATAAAAGCCCTATTTTCACCAGCGTTTGGGAAGTTGCTGCTTTGGAGGACTATCCCCAATATCCTCCTCACTTGTTCTAAGTAATAAAATCCCCTTGTTAAATTATCCTTGGTTATAGTAATTGGACTGTCACCTGCGAAGTTATTGAACCCATCTGTTGTGTGAGTAACAATCCCATTTAGCAATGTACACTCCGGCCGGGCTCGGTGGCTCACGCCTGTAATCCCAGCACTTTGGGAGGCTGAGGCGGGCAGATCACCTGAGGTTAGAAGTTTGGGACCAGCCTGGCTAACATGCTGAAACCCCATCTGTACTAAAAATATAAAAATTAGCCAGGCGTGGTGGCAGGTGCCTGTAATCCCAGCTACTTGGGAGGCTGAGGCAGGGAGAATCACTTGAATCCTGGAGACAGAGGTTGCAGTGAACTGAGATCATGCCATTGCACTCCAGCCTGGGCGACAGAGTGAGACTGTCTAAAAAAAAATGTACACTCACCTGTCACTGGACAGAGCTGAGCCACATGACCTTTCTTGGCTATAAGGCATGCTGGGAAATAGTCTTTTTTTTTTTTTTTTTTTTTTTTTTTTTTGTAGTCAGCTATTTAATTAGGTCCTTAAGACATTTAGAACACCAATTTGTGAGGATAAATTCCATTCATCAGGGCAAACATAGATTGCAGGTAGCCCTGGAGCTGAGGAATAGCTTTGACTTTTGGTAAAATCTGTGAATCCACAACTTTCTGATCAATCTTATGCTGCTCTATAAGCTCATATTTCTTTTTCTGTGTCAAAGATCTCACCTTCCTGGTGTCTGGGCTTCCATAGCTTCTTCTTGAAGTAAGTATCAGTAAGATGTTTGGGGATTTTTACATTGCGGATATCGATTTTGGTTGAGGTGGCAATGGCAAATTTCTGATGTGTTCTTCATAGAGGAACTCGACTGAGGGCCAGAGGTCCAGTCACAAGTAATATGCCACTAGTCAGCTGCTTCAGGAAAACCACCCTCTTGCCCTGGTGGCGTCCAGTGAGGATGATCAGAATGGTCCTGGGGTAATGGTGGCTCACAGTTTTCTCATGTGCTTTCTGAAGGGCTTTGTTGCTGTGGCTCAACAGCTTTGGAGGCTCATCTTCAGCGGGATAATATCTAGGCATTTTGCGAAGTTTAACCACCTGGGTACCGTTGTTCCTGTCACCACCAACTGGGTTTGTAATAGTTGAAAGAACTTTCTCCTTCTTTTTCTTTTCAACCTTGGATTTAGTGGCTGAGTACCTCCTCTTGTACGTGGCCTTTCTGGAATACAGGGCAGATCGGGAATACCTGCCAATTCCTCTGACAATGACAGGATTGAGGCTGCAATGGGGTTTCCCCTTCTTGGGCGTTTTAGCCTTGAGGTTACCTTTTTCACCCTGCCACCAGCATCAGTCTTCTTGGCTTTGGGTTTCTTCTCTTTAGTATTTGGCTTCTCAACTTTTTCACCTGCCATCTTGCAAGATGGGAAAGAGCAGAAATACAGTCTTTTAGCTAGAGCATTACCACCCCAGATAAGGTTAGGATTCTGACACCAAGAAAGAAGAAAGAAGTCGATATTGAACAGGCAAACTGCAGTCCCCAGCACATGACTGAATCATCAATAAGCAGTACAAAGTTTATAGACATCTTTGCTATGTTGTATGTCTATCTATCTGTATCTGTCTATCTAACCTATGTTGTATATAAATATACACCATAACTAAGATGTCTCTCTTTCTATATATAGATGTCTACATACATACATCTTTGCTGTGTACATACATACAGTATATATATGCACACATATATATAGAGGGATCTCTATATCGAGAGAGAGAGAGATTGTAAGGAATTGTTTCATGTGATTGGCTGATAAGTCCAAAATCTGCAGCACAGGCTGTCAGGCTGGACACCCAGGGAAGAACTGACGTTCAGGTTAGTCTGGAGACAGAATCCTTCCTCAGGGACTCTTTTCTCTTAAAGCATTCAACAGATTGGATAAGGCCCATCCACATTATGGAGGGTCATCAGATTTACATGCTGACCATATTTAAAAATGGCTTCACAACAACATCTAGACTGGTGTTTGACTGAGTATCATGGCCTAGCCAAGCTGACATAAAATGAACCATCACACACGGTTACTGATGCAAGCAGATCTGGCTGCCTAGGGGCTGCTTGTTTCTAATGGATTCAGTGGAGGTGAGTTCAGCAGGTTCACCAGCTTACACAGAGGAGGAACTTACCTGGTCAGAAGAACCCAGAGCTCTGGGTTGTTGCCTCTTGCATCTTCTAAGGCTGGAGGTGTGGAGGGAGGGCGTGGGGATGCATGACACTCAAGGGCCACATTGTTTTGTGGAAAGTAGTTCTTGTGTCAGAGTCACAAAGCTAGTTACTTCCATGTTTTAGTTCTTATGGCCCCTAAGGCCTACACACAGCCCACTGTAGAGTTGCGTTGTGGATTGGGTTAGCTCTGTCCCATAGAACTGCCTCAGCAGTGCTTGGCACAAGCTGGGTGCCCAACAAATGCTATGTGGGAAAACTCCAGTTCCTTAGAAATATTTGACTATAGTTCCATGCGCTTTCATAAGTATTTCTTCTCCTAAACATACCTGGACATAACTGGTTTCAGGCTTAGGTCTTTTTAAATTTTATTTTATTTTTATTTTTTTATTTCTTTTAAATAAAGAGATGAGGTTTCACCATGTTGGCCAGGATGCTCTCAATCTCTTGACCTCATGATCCGCCCACCTCGGCCTCCCAAAGCGCTGGGATTACAGGCATGAGCCACTGCACCCAGCCGAGGCTTAGGTCTTTGTAACCTTGACTATATATTGTAATTTTGGTGGGGTGGAGGGCGGGGGTGGGAGGAGAAATGGGAATGTGTTAGAGGACTTTCTCATTTTAGCAGATGTTAGTGAGCACTGTAGCTAAATACATCACTAACACCTGGGAAATGTTATGTTTAAGTCGAATAACCAAAGGAGCTTGTTTATATGCTGATAGATCGCTCTCTCTCTCTGCAGAGGAGAGAAACCCTATTTTCAAATTTTGTGGATGTGCAGCTTCCTCCCACTTCTCCACTTCCCCTGAGTTTGATGTGGTGACAGCTCATTTCACAGACAGCACAGACAGCTGCAGACAGACCAGATCAGAGGAAAGGAGAGGAAGGGGTAGACTGAATATGTGGTATTTGGTGATACTGTGTAGCTAAATGGCAACTCAACTCTACTTCTCCTGAAATCCTGCAGGTATAAAGTTCAGGGAGACTTGATACCTGATTGATACGTATAAAGAGGTTAATATAATGTACTTGCAATTATGGATGGTGAGTTATTCTTCTACTTGCTTTCTTATGCCAGATAAGTAAGTCTTACATTAATGAGAAGAATACTGGGATGGAGTGGGGTGGGTGGAATACATTTCAGAACTGAACAATAACAAAATGTATATGTACATATTCAATTGGCAACTTCCCTTTGGTTCTCATAGCCCATCTGTGGAAGGCCACCCAATTAGTTAAGAAGAAAAGGGGCTGGAGACCATGGCTGGTTATTTTATGTGCCCTGAAATAGAGGAAATGGCCACAACTGCTTTGCCAGGGGTGTCCAAACCCTACCCCCCTATTATACTAAAAAACGCATCGTATGGCATCAAACAACTTAAAGAGATGTAATAAGGAAACTGCCTTCTTTGCACTTCTGTTAAGAACATCTGGTTCTGGAGCGAGCCCTGGCAACTTTAGCAGTTAGCTGGTGGCCCACAGATTGAAAGGGAGCAAATCCTCCTGTTGTCAGGCTCATCTGCAGAGTTTCTTGGTAGCATAACCACCAACCCTAAGGATAAAAAGCCTCTGGTGCATTTTTCTGCTGTGCACTTTGCCTGTGCTGAGCTTATTTCCTGACCATAGACTTAAAAGACAGGGGCTTATGGAGACCCAGGCACTGGCCTCAGAAAGCCGTACAGCTGAACTCTGCCCTAGAGGCTCTTCATCCTGAGCACTGTGGGGCTGTCTGGGGGCTCAATCCCTCAATTACTACTTCATCTCTTTTGCGGTTTGGGATTATTGAAGACACGTGCCTTGTTGCATTTTCCAAAGATGGTCGCAACAATATCTCTCATCTCACATGCTCATCTGCAATATGACCTCTCTTCCCGCATAGAGATGCAGTCTTATTTCCCTCCCTTGGAATCTAAGCTGGCCTCAGTGACGCACCTGCAGCCAATAAAATGTGGAGTTGATGTGGAGTGACTTCCCAGGTTAGGCCAGAAAAAGCCATACAGCTTTCTCCTGGCTCTCTTGGAAGGCTTGCTTTTCATACATTCCCTCCTGAGATGCTCTGTTATAGGACCAGCTGGCCATGCTGTGGAAAACCTAAGTCACACGGAGAGGCCAAATGCAGGTGCTCCTGTCAACAGTCTCAGAAGAATCTGGTCTTTCAGTCATTTCAGCCCTGATACCAGCTAGATGAAGGAAGAAACCTCCAGATAGTTCCAGCCCAAACTGAGTTTTTAGCAGGGGTCCAGACATCATGGAACAGAGAAAATTCATCCCAGCTATAACACATCCAAATTCCCGACACGCAGAATCCTTGAGCGTAATAAGATGGCTGTTTTATCTAAGTTTGAGGTGGTTTGTTATACAGCAATAGATAATCGGAGCATGCGCATAAGAGATACTTTTGGAGGAATCTGAAAGCAGACTATTAATCAAAATGCCCCACTTCCTCTTTCCTGGACTTTTCTGCATGTCCAGCACTGTATTGCACAATGTCTAATTTGTAAGGGAGGTGCCGTTACCCTCAGCCTCTCCTTTGTCAGCAATGGGAAAAGATGCCCATTCCCCTGAGACAATGCAGCCCCACTCCACAACACATAGCCTGGCAGGCCAAGTGCAGGCTCCCACTGGCTGGATATCTTGTGCAGTGCAGGAACTATACAACTGTACATTGTGACCCTGAAGAAGTGTAAAAGTAAGCTCTTTGTCCTCAAGGAATTTACATTCTTATTGATTATATAAAATATGTGTAGTTTAAGATGGAAAAGTTTTAAATGCTAAATTATGAAATAACACTGGCTTTAGAAAGAATTTTGTAAAAATGAAAAATATGAAGCTGTAGAAAAAGCACTGGACTTTTAAGTAGGAGATCTGGGTAGAAGAGCCAAGCTGAAGCCATGTCCGGCATGACACTAGCATGGCCTTACTTGGTACCTCGGAAGAGGCACTTGAGTTATTTGGGCTTCAGTTTCCTTCAAAAGGGGAATAAAGTTGGTCTGATTGGTGCGTCTCAAACTTTCCTGTGTGATACCCTCATGGCATAACAGAGCGGGGTCTGAGGGTTTAATCTGAATTGCCTGCCAAAAACTGGACTTAAAAAAAAAGCTGCACACGCCTTTGATTTGTTCAAATGACTCACTTCTCACTGTCTTTAGTTTCCAGGGGGAAAAAATGACCTTAGTAGAAAAGACTTCTCCAAACACTGTATTTCAAAAAGCGCAGCTCCTTCACCATTACCATCCTCTCTCTGTGGTACGTTAAAGATGGCCACAAATTTTTTTGATACTCTTCCTGTTGAGAGGGAAGTCTATGTCCACTTGAATCTAGGCAGGTTCAGTGGTTTGAGCAAGAGAATATAACAGGAGTGATGCTGGACCAGTTCTCAGGTTGAGGCTTTAAGAGATTGGCAGCTCCCACTTCCTACCTCTTTGAACAGTTCCTCCAGGAGCCCTGAATTTGATGACTTGAGAACACCATGCTGAAGCGGCCAAGTGTAGGTGCTCCAGTCAGCCGTTCCAGCTGGGCCCTAGCTTCTGGTGATTCCCACCAGGCACCTGACATGTGAGCAAAACCACTTTGAACTCTGAAGATAGGTCCATCTGCCACTCGATGCCACTGAGTAGAAGGACCACCCAGCTGAAGCCTGCTGGAATGTCTGGCCCACAGAATTGTGAGATATCATAGAACAGTTCTTGTTTCAAGTGACTAGGTCTCGAAGTGGTTTGCTACATAGCACTAGATAACTGGAACATGAACCCTCAACCTGGCAAAAAATTTGCTTTCTTTACCAGGAATGCTGTCTTGGATTTGGTTCACACTGGCTCACGGAAAGTTAAATTTTCAAGAATTGTATGAGCCAGTTATTAAATAAAGCTACCATCAGAATTTGATCTAATTTACAATTAAATTAATCACATTAAAAACAAAGTTAATAAATTCTCAAAACGTATCACTTCCTAGTTCTTTTACTACATATTTCTCTTACATATGCTCTTGAGATTATTAATGTCTATGGTATCTGCATGGTGGAAACACTTTATAGTAGGGCCCTACTGCAGTCTCCCAACCCCTATCCAGTGACATTGCATTGGTAGCTTGAAATTGATCATGGCAGAACTATTTACACCACGGAAATTGTCCAGTGCCTCTCAGAAAGCTAGTTGTTAGACATTTATGCCAGCACACCACTACCATTGTTCAGTGCACTTATAACCATCTGATACAATTTATACTTATTAATTATTTGCTTATTCCATACCCCCGGCCCCTGCCAATGGAATATAAGCTTCTGGAGAGGAGGAGC